TATGAAAGTCAAATCATTTAAAGCACATTAGAATTTATACAGAAAAGCTCAATTTGTATGGAAAATTTCTTTTCTCTCCCTAACTTTGAATATAATTTATTTTCGTATCTTTCAATATTGTAAGCTCATTATTATTTTTCACATTTTAAGTGCATACTCTTTTTCATTAAGTGACTAAAGTGACCCATGTAACGAGCTTTAGGTCGTTTAACCCAAGTCAGTTGACCATAAGCACCAGGTAATAAGAAACCCCGTAGGCTTAATTGCTCGAATCAAATAGGTTCCGAAGAAGAATATAGGATATTGAGTTTTTTACAAACGGTGATAAACTTGAGCTTATGTCTAATAAATAAGATCAATTCATGTTCAAAGTTACCTTACAAACATGTGATTGTCATTCTAAATCTCACACATGAGGTAGAGTCCCACTAACAATATCTTAGTGTGTGCAGTCAGCAAACTATTTCCGTATTAGATTTACTCAATTCAATAGATTATTTTTCTTACTTTAATGAAAATATCTTATACCTTCTCAACTTCTTTCATCTACACAAATCATGAAAGTTTCTTCACAAATCCTGGAGTGATGGATATGGCTTTGTCTGACCATTCAACTTCTCCACATAGGATCAATATAACTTCATGTAGGATCTTCTAACATGGTCGATTCAAAACAAAAATAATCATATCAGGTTATCAATAAATGTTCACAAATATCTAAGGTTGTTGTCTCTGAAAGGGACTGTGACATTTTGGCAATGAGAAGAGTACTCCAAGGATAGGACAGTGAAAAGAAAAATAATATGCTCTGCTTAGATTCAAGAAAAGTTCCTCATATCTGATTGTGGATGAGAAAGTAAGTTTTCGTCCCTGAATATTGCTTTGAAATGGGAGGTTGAAATGTGACTCAGTTGACATCGTTCTCAATTTAGGCTATGTTGGGCAAAATTGTTGTCAATTGACTTCCAGGGTAATGATGAACGCAATATATTTTCTCAATCGACATCGACCAAATGACTGAATGAAAAGTTGGCACCTCAATGAAGACGACCCATCCCCAAAACCAAGTGTGCCATTGGAGGCAACCTAACTTATTTAGTGCTGTTCATGACCCAAACCTTTCTCCTTGGGTGGATTTTAAGCGTCGGCTCACTTAGTGATACTGTATTCGGCTTGGGACCACTGCTGTGACCTAATGAGTGTTATATATGTTGCCCTTTCCTCACTTGGTTTTGATGGTGATTTGTCGTGTCCCTTTTTTCTTTGTAAAATCGGCTACCTTCTCTGTGATTTTGCATTTCCCATTTTCCTCTTCTCTTTTGCCTTCGTGGCTGCGTGTACATCCCTTTGTGTGCGTCCTTTGTGGGTAAACTATAGCAATCGAAAAGAGAATTTGGTTGGAGGATTCTTGGGTCGATTGTTATGTTGAGGTTGTCGATTTGAGGTGAAAAACTGAGCCGTATCAACCTTTCGTGACAAGTATTTCTCTACATCTGGTATAGAGCCATTGTTGCAAGTTTCTAGAACCAAAACTAGAACAAAATCGCACCAAAATCGATTTTCTTCAAATAGGCCGAACTTGCAATCTCGATTTTTGGTTAAACTGAGAAGTTTTTGGGAAAACGGAGATCGAAATTGTGCTGTGCAGGTGGAGGTACCACTTGGTGTGTGGCCCGTGATGGTGACGACTATGCGTGAAGGTTTCGGTGGTGGCACGTGGGGCAGATTCTGGAGAATCTTTCTTCGGACGGTTTATTCGCTTTATCATTCTAAACGTACTGATATCTTTAATTTTTTATTTCAGGTTATACGTTGAATTTTGGCAGATTTTGCCCCTAAACACTCGGCTTGCGATCTTTGGTCAATCGCGTCGGTACATATGCTGGGTTTAAGCCAGTGTAGAAGTGCTGAACTTGCAAATTTTCTTAATACCGTGGTAGGACACTTTATGATTAAGTCCTTAAACCTTTTCCATGCTTCGTGAAGACTGTCTAATTCATCCTGCTGAAAAGTAGATATCTTGTGTCTTATTTTAGTTACGTTCGACAGTGGAAAGTATTTTGTGACGAATTTTTGTACGAGATCATTCCAAGTCCTAATGCTTCCAGCGGTAGGGCATCCAACCATTCTCTTGCTCCGTCTCTGAGTGTATGTGGGATGAGTCTCAACTTGATTGCTTCATCAGATTCTCTATGAAAATTGTAATTTTGGTAGATATTCAAAAAGCGTGAGATGTGATTGTGTGGATTCTCATGAGAT